AACTTCTTTGGGCGGGGCCGTCGGGCTGCGGCGTTGGTGTGGGCGTCCTCCGCGAGGGGGTCGGAGGGCGGCGAGAGGGGCGCGGCGCTGAGTGAGGAGGCGAGTGTCAGCGCGGGGACCAGGAGGTGCTGCGTGCTGAGGGCAGCCAGGCTGAGGCCGGGCAGCAGGTGGCGCTGCGGGAGGAAGGCGGGGTGGAGGGCGGCGGGCGTGGGCGGGGGACTGGAGGGCGTCCACGTTTCCGTTTTGATGGCGTCGCACAAAGGCGCAGGGGACACTGAGGGCGGCGGCGTCGGTGGCACAGTGGGCGGAGAGAGTCTGGCCTTCTTGGGGCTGTGGGCGGCGTCCTGCCAAGGGCGGAAGAGGCGCTTTCCTGACATGGCGCTCATGGCGGCGGCACGACCTTGGGAATCAACTGAACACTGAGAGAACACAAACGGCGTGACCTGGTGTGACCTTTGAGAGAGGAGGTCGAGACGAGTATGACCTGGTTTGACCCCGTTCACCTTTTATACCTGTCTTCTCACCTGACCATTTAAGCTCCTCCTCTCCCTCACCTGTTTGATACTCTCTTGTTATACGTACTGAATTTTAAGTGCTGAGACGTGGACAGTTTATTAACTGCAATAAGAAATATACAAATAGTGAAATCAAGTTACAAAGTTTGAAATAAATGTAAGGCTTAATGGTCACCATAAAAACAAGGTTCAACGTAACCGCATTTTAAAAGGGCGGAGCCTATAAGTGACAGCCAATGGACAGGTAAAGAAGGCGGGGCTTAAAGGAGTTCGACCAATAGGGGATCACAATCAAAAGGAGGAGGAGCTTCGCGAGTTCAAGTGGGTACTGATGCTTAATATCACAATCATCTTTTTTTCCGTTGATTAACCTGATAAGCTAATGTGAGCATCCTGATTTAAGTGGCTGATCTCCCTTATTACCCTTAGGGATATTATGTAACACCATCAATTTTGATATGATAGGCGTGATTATTTGGAAGTGAAATGGGCATTTAAACTACACTCTCCCAAGCCGTAGAATTTGATCGCTTCATGAGTCTCTTGTAATGAGGGCCATTAGGCGGTTATGTCCGTTACGTCACATTGTCTCGGATAACCTCACTCCGCTTAAGTCGTCCACGCGTCGTCCTTCGCTAATTGTGGCTGGCCAATTCATATTCGCAGGGAACCCTTTAAACTACGAAGCGTAATTGTCTTCTGTGGATATTGTAAAACCACAAACCGTAACCTTCTACCGAGTCAGGCCATTCAATTACCGTCACCCAGTTGCTTCCGTAACTAATGCTAAAGACGAGCCCAGACTTGCTATAAATAAAGCATCCAACTCCCGCCTTCGCTGTTTACTCCGTATTCATACAGCATAAGCCCGTCCACGCCTTTGAATATATCTACACACCCTCCCCGTCGTTTCATAAGAGCAACACCAAAATTATGTAATAAAACGTGAAATTTACTGAAATTATAACTAGTAATTAGCTCTTCATCCTGAACTATTAGAATCCATCGCAATAAGGGAAAGGGATATTAGAGGCGCGGGTGGGAGGCGAGCGGCCACCGGGCAGGTTAACCCACTCCGTCCAGAAATGGAATCTTTTTTTATCCTAAAAAATGTTAAGAAATGTTCTTTTTGTTTCCTTTTCTTTATTTCTTTTACAGTGAGATATCTTATCCGAGTTAAGAATACCAAAAAATGTTAAGAAATGTTCCTTTTGTTTCTTTTTCTTTATTTCTTTTACAGTGAGATCTCTTATCCGAGTTCCGAAAACCCAAAAATGTGAAGAAATGTTTTTTTGTTAGTTTATTTTTCTTTATTTCTTTTACAGTGGGATCTCCTACCCGAGTTCCGAAAACCCATAAGCAGTTAAAGACCACCTCCTTGCAGCGGTAACGAGTAACACCTCTCACCCCTCAACCACAACACCATATTGTAAACCGCACGAAAACCCACGCAGTCAGTCCCCAACCACACCAACCACAGGGGAAGCGGGATGGAGTGGGAAGAGGAAAAGAGAGTGAAAGAGGAGAGAGAGGAGGGTATCGGATAGAAAAAACGGGGGGGAGAGGAGGGGGAAGAATAAAGGAGGCAATACAAAGCCGAGGATAATGGCGGTGAGTGGGGAGATCCGAACAATGTCGAGGTCAGAGAGCGATGTTGTTGAGGCGCCATCTTGTCACAATGGCGGTTCATCCGGGAGGGAAGGGGCAGGCGGGAGAAAGGCGGGGAAAGAGAGAGAGAGAGAAGGAGAAAGAGAAGGAGAAAGAGAAAGAGAAAGAGAGAGAGAGAGAGAGAGAGAGAGAGAGAGAGAGAGAGAGAGAGAGAGAGAGAGAGAGAGAGAGAGAGAGAGAGAGAGAGAGAGAGAGAGAGAGAGAGAGAGAGAGAGAGAGAGAGATAGAAGAGGAGAGAGAGGGGGGGGGGAGGAGGCATGAGAGAGGGAAGGAGAAAGGGGAGGACCAGAGAGAATACAATATATACAGTTTAAGCC